AATTTCACATTGCTCAGATGAACAGTTGAGATATTTGCATGTGAAATAACAGGAAGTGATGTCAAAGGGGAATGTCTGCATGTGAATATTTAAAACAATTATTTTTAGCAATTATTTTAATATTTGAGATGATTACAATCATCCTATTTACAGTGTTCACATTTTTAAGACTTCTGAAAGATTGATTTTAGACATTTTAAGGCTAATTAAGGCCTTATTTTTGGTTTTATGAATTCAATGCCTTTTAAGACTTTTAAGGATCTGCAGGAACCCTGATTAAAGAGACAAATAAAATGACGCATTGATTTATTTGCAACAGATACCTGAGCGTCACTCAAACCCACACAAACACTTCATGACTGAAACACTGTGACAAAATATGAAGCCATTCAGATGTTTTTGGTAGATAAAAGTGCAGTCTGTATTAAGAGAAAGCCACAGCTGCCCTGAGGCAGACTGAGAGGTGGGGCGGCCCCTCTAACCACCAGCAGCAGGCAAGGCAGGTGAAGTGTCTTGCCCAAGGACACAACTGAGATGGATGGAATGGTGGATAGAACTGGCAACCCACCAGTTCCAGGACGACTCCTCTAAGCACTCTGCCACAGTCGCCCCGCCCTCCACTCTGGTCATTCATCTCCACAACAGAGCCTGTCTATTCTACAGAGCATTAGYGAGACGTGTTTGAAAGCTCCATGACTGGAAATTAATTTCTGACCTAATTCCTCCAGTTGGAACGGACTGCCTGGCTCATCGCTGCTCTCTACAGGTCCAGATGGCACAACGGCATGGAGCAAATATGCTTCAAAATACTGTTGAGGGTTGGAAAATGCTCACAGAGTATCGCCGAAGCCAGGGGTCGGGATGTGAGTTGATTCTGAGAGCCCACGGTGCGATCATGTCAAGCATCGAATCAAAGACACTTGTAATGAGCGGTCTGGTCAAACTGAAAACTTAGGAAGTCTTTGTCAACAGATGGCCATCTAAGTTGGTCAAAGATCAGATTTCTTTACTCATCTATAAGAAAGTGCAGCCAGTCCAGAAAGGCTGAGCTGTCAGGACTTTTTAGGCTGGATTGGTGGGTAAACACAGGCATCCAGAGGACAGCTGTGGTCTGTCAAAGGGCTGCCCCGGCACAAGAGAGCACAAAAGAGCTGCTTTCAACTTCATTAGCACTTTGTCCTCATCCATCTGTCAGCTGACATATATCAGGCTTAGCAGACATAAAGGAGAATGGGGGGAGTTTAAAAACACATAGAAAACATGTAGCTCTCTATCTGAAATATATGACAAACTGTTAAAATCATGAGCAGGCTTTCAAGATTTGACGGCAAGCCGCTTAAATCCTCTGACCGACACCATTCTTCACACTCAGCTGAGGATAATGCAGTTCTAGCTGTCAATCAAGCCATTAAGTTTAATTTGACTCATTTATCTTCATCTGGGTTCCTGACGGAGCCACTCCGTCTTAAAATGCAGAGTGAGGTGATGGTGAGGGAGCCGTGGAGGGCTGCAGCAAACATTCATCAGCAGCTAATGGCTGGACTGATGGCTGCTCATCAGTGATTGGGCTTTTGTGTTGATTTAAAATAAAAGAAAAAAACTCAACAAACAGCTCTTCCTCCTGCAACAATGCAATCTGCTTAATCTAAATCCTCTCCTAATAGCACTGCACATTGGCTGTTGCTGTGAGCTGTGCACCAGCTTACGCAGAAAGAACAGTTGTTAGGAGAGCTGAATGGAGCAATTAAACAGCCTCACAGTGCAAAGGKTCACAAGTTATCACCTCTGTGAAAGTGGCTGCACAGAAAAGAAATGAACGCCTCCAGCTATTATCTCTACAGAAATGAGCTGCTGGTTCGAAATGAACGTGAACTGACTTGGGGGGGGGGGACTTAAAAGAAAAGGAAAACGGTGAAAACACAAATCACATTTCAACTTGACAGTATTGGCAATCCAAACGTGTCTGTTTGAAACGCCTAAGAGGCAGAAGAAGAGATGTAATGATTAGGGAAGGTCCAGGTTCAATCCCTCTTAATGGCAAGTGTCTTTCTTATTAAGGAGCCCCCTGGCTCTTTAACAGGAAGTGCAGCTTAGGACTAACAAGCTGATGCCTCATTCCTCTAGAGGARGGCGGTGAAAAGTCTCACCTGTCCTTTGGGCTTTAAAGACGACATATATAGACACAACGACACTATCAGATTTCTGTCTGGAAAGTTTACAACTGTATTTGGTGTAGATTTAAAATAGTACTGCGAGCAGAAAAAAAGAGTGGTTGAGTGAGTGATTTATTTTGTCCATTTAAACAGAGCATGCCATGGAAACTTTGAGAATCAATGTGTTATGACAGTAAAACCTCCAGGATTCAGTGACTTTCACACTGGCAGTATCAGGGGTAATAAAACAAAACAAAGGTCAGCCGAGGCGAAGAGACTCACTGAAACATCAAYGTCCTCCTCTGAACGTGAAGCTCAGAGTTTAAAGCAGAGCTATTTTATGGATCTGGAGAACAACTTTTCTTTAAGTTTTGTCAGCACAGATCGACTGAATAAGACTAAGAATACACGTGATGCTGAATTCCAGTCGAAGCCTCACATCAGAAACAGAGCTGAGTGAGCCAGATATGACTGCCAACTCTTCAACATTCAGCTCCAGCAGCAGAAGCGAGGCGTGAGTTTATCCAGGATYTTGTTGCTATGTGTGAGGAATCAGATATTCCTTTAGAAATAAAGTTTTCTCTGTTTTTGATAAAGTACTGTAAACAAGGAGGGGCTCTGCCAAAACAGAAGTAAAAATGAGCTTGGATCCTATTCAAAGGTCGACTGCACAAACTGCTTGTAGGTTTTATGTTTCTTTATGAGACATTTTTAATGTTGAGTTCAACTTTAAAGCATTTTTATTTTACAAAAGAATAACATATTTAATATGAGATTCTATGTTTTAAATGTAAAGAATGTTTTTGTTC